GCGGGTATTGCAGAGAGCCGGAGGCTTGAGGATCCCGGCCCTGCAGCTCGGCTGGTGCGCGCGGAAGCGGAGGCTGCTGCTGGGGTTCGGTTTCGGAATGACCCAGCGAAGGTTCCCGTTCTGCAGGGAGTGAAAGCAGCGCCTGGGGGGCTGAGCCGCGCCTTCGACCCCATCCCGAGAGCAGGGAAGCGCTGGCCAGGGGGAGGGAGGGGATAGTGGCTGGGACTGGACAAGATCAAAGGCAGCTCTGGCTTCCAAGTCTCTTTCTGTCCTGGCTGCCAGCCTAACCGGGTGCTTGCCCCAAACACTCCATTTCCTCCTGCCAGTGCTGATCAAAGCCTGCTCTGACCTGTGCCAGCAGCTGGCTTGCACTGGGGCTGGGTAAGAAAGGGCTCAAAGTAAATAGTCATAGCCACATTACCTGTCATTGTGTCCTTGTAATTTGATTGCATCAGCTAATAGTCAGAAGTGGATGCTAGGAGAATCAGTCATAAGAAACCTGCAATACTTGTGTGAGATTAAACCTGTCCCAAAAAATATCAGCTAGACTCCCAAAATTTATAACCGAGTCGGCAATGACTGCAAACAGTGTCAGTTAATGCTAGCTGAATTAGGAGTGGTACTGGAACACAACGGTTAAAATTTGCATTTGTTTTCTCAGTGTGTTTTTTGTTTTTTGTTTTTTTACTTTAGCCTGTAAGTATTTTTATAAATTTCTTGCAGGAGGCTTACATGTTTTTGGTTGGTTAGAGGTTGAATTTCTTTTGTCAGTAAGATGCACACTAATATAATAGCATTTATTTAGTGTTTTATGTAACTCCGCCCCCCCCACCCAACTTACTGCACTTTATGCAAAGTTAGTGGCTTTCTTTATAGGTATAATATCTACTCAGTATTCCTGATCTCTAGAATCAGTTAATGTTTATCGTCCGTGGTCTGGAGGGGAGGAATGCAAATGGAAAGCAGGAAACAGGTGTGTGTGTGTGTGTGTGTGTGTGTGTGTTAGTTAGCTGTCAATTTCTGAAGAATTTAAACCTGTGGGATTTTGCGGGGAGGGGTCTTTATGATGGCAAAGAATGTGGTAAATCTGTGGAGATATCCAGTCCTACTGTTGCCTCCTGCTTTTCTAAGGGCAGCAAAGACAAACTGGCCTAATTTGGTCAGCTTCAGTGCTGCTGCCCAGAATCTTTTGAAGGTAGTAAAACCATCAAGAATAACATAAGTCTCACTCTAGTGCAGCTTGGGAAAATTATGAAGCATAGCAGAGTCAAGCTCTGAGAGTGTGTCTGAAAAATGTTGTGTTTTTAACATCTTCAGAGAGGTAGCTGAGTTAGTCTATAACTGGCAAAACTTAAAAAAACAATGAGTTGTACCATGAAAGCTCATGATACCATCTACATCCATGGTCACCAACTGGTCAATCACAATTGACTGGTCGATCACGAGGCCTCAACCAGTCGATCGCGAGGCGTTCGGGCCCCCTATTTTCCCCCCACCCCCGAGAAGCCCCACTACCTACCTCCAGCATAGTGCAGGCTTCCCGCGGGGTGGACGGAAGTCCTGTATGCAGCTTCACGCCACTTCCGGCTGTTCTGGAAGTGCACTGGCTGCTCCCCTCCCACAGCTCAGTGGCGTGGGCCCCGGAGGAGGAGTGCGGTGGTTTCCCTGTGCTGCAGAAGGGGTGAGTCGAGTGCAAGGGTTTCCCTGTGCCGTGGGAGCAGGGTTTGGCCCTGGGGCAGGTGTGCGCGGGGGTTTGGCCCCGGGGCAGGCGCGCGTGGGGAGGAGAATCCTGGGAGGAGGCGGGTGCAGGGGACTCTCTGACCCCCTGTTCCCTCTCCCCACTCCCTTCTCCTCACTTCCGTGTTCCCTCTCCCCACTCTCAGAAACCTGTCCCCACTGTCACCCTGTCCCCAGCCTCAGAAACCTGTCCCCACTGGCATCCTGTCCTCTGACCTCCCGGCACCCTGTTCCTTCTCCCCACTTCCCAGCCTCAGAAACCTGTCCCCACTGGCACCCTGTCCCCTCTCTCCTGTCCCCAGCTGCAGAACTTGGTCCTCACTGGCACCCTGTCCCC